CATTCAGAGGGAGCTGGACAGGCTGGAGAAGTGGGCAGAGGGGAGCCTCCTTAGCCTCAACCAAGGGAGGTGCCAAGTCCTGCCCCTGGGGAGGAGTAAGCTCTTGCCCTGAGAGGGGCTGGGGGCCAAGCAGTCCAAGAGCAGCTTTGTGGAGAAGGACCCGGAGGGTGTTGGTGGGCACCGCGTTGGGCGGGAGGCAGCGATGTGCCCTTGTGGCCAAGCCTGCCAGCAGTGTGCTGGGCAGGGTTAGGAAGAGCATTGTCAGCAGGTTGAGGGAGGTCATGTTTCTCCTTGGTTTGGCACTGGTGAGGCTGTATTGGGAAGCGCTGTGTGTAGTGCTGGGCGGCCCAGTCCACTGAGCGGGATGGAGCTACTGGAGCGAGTCCGGGGAGGGCTGCTGAGGTGATGAAGGGACTGGGGCATGTGTCATATGAGGAAGGGCTGGCTTCGGTGGTGGCCAGTGGCAGGAGGGGAGGCCACAGGCACAACCTGAAGCGCAGGAAGCTCCACTTGAACAGGGGGGAACCCCTCTTCACTGTGGGGGTGGTTGGACAGTGTGGAGCAGGTAGCTGAGAGAGGTGGTGGAGTCTCCATCCTTGGAGTTGTTCCAGAGCCATCTGGGCAGGGTCCTGGGCAATGTGTTGTAGGTGACCTGCTTGGGCAGGGGGGTTGGGGCCGGGGGATCTCCAGAGGATCCCTGCCAGCCCCAGCTGTTCTGTGATCATGACCTTTTAGCTGTCTAACTTGGAGCTCTGAGGGATTGCAAGTCAGTACATGTGAAAAATTAAGGATATTATTGAAGATCTTGAGTGAAGCCATGGACTCGTTCCTAGTGTGAGTGAAACAGAAGACAAGCATGTTTTTACAGTGAACTAAGAGTCCTGTAGCCCATATTTTAGGAAAATGGTAAAGTAGCTTGTAGTTGCAGCTTGTTTCAGATACTTCTGATGTTCATTATACCACACACAATGGTAAAGAAGCTGCCCAAGGACTAGGAGAGATGGTAAAGTTTGTGGTTTTTTTAGCATCTTTGAAATTTCCAGTTATGAAAGGTAGATTAAAAAGCTGCAGTTGGTAGCTGGAGAGGTAGCTGTCTGGGCTCTGCCATGCGGTTCTGACTTCAGGCTGGAGTCTGTGAGGCTGCTCCTGCCTCCTTTGATGCCACTAGGCTTTTCACCTCTAGTTTCCACCCTGTAGGAATGGAGGCATTGAGCATTTTGGAGAGGGAACTCCTGTTTTTGGAGAACATAGCGGAAGCATGTTGCAGTAAGTGTCTTGGGAACAGAGACCTCTATAAGCTGAAGCTTTTCTGTAGCTCTGTTTTGGTCTCGAGTTCTCAGAGCTAGGTGATTTTAGGCATAGAGACCCAGCAAGATCTACAGGATGAGCTGACATAGGAGCCAGCTGATCTTCCACACTTACTGAGTTGGCTTACCCTGGTGTGAAAACAGAATAGGTGGTGTTTGGTTTGGGCTTGAGCACAGACTGAAGTTCTGAGTTTGAGTGGTGTATTTTTTTTATTCTCTTCTCTCTCTCTCCTCCTTAAAGAGTATAGATATTACATAAGAGATGATTCAGGGAAATGTTTTTGAGCTGTGATTTTTAGTACTTATGCCTCAACAGAAACATACCATTAAGGAAAGTTACTGGAGAATTTGCGATTAGTTGCGTTTTTCAAGATGTTTCAGGAATTCTTTCATAGGCCTTTTGTGTTTATGTAGCCTTTTCCCCTCCCCAGATACATGCACTTGTGTATGTGTGTCTGTGTGCAGACACCCCTCTCCCCCTTTCTTAGTGAGTGTGTAATGAATGACGAAATCTTCCCTGAGAAGTTGCATTCCTCTGGAGAGGACTCAGTAATAAGATACTGGAAGTAAGCATTTTTGGAGGGAAGCTTGTTGTAGCAGTTCCCTAGAAATAGGTCTATGTCTTATGGCTTGTTTTCTACAACAGCTAAAACTTATCTGCCAGGTTAGAGCGTGTGCTATGCGCGCTTCCTAACCTGCAGTATCTGAGTTTGGTTGCTTAGTGTAAGTAAAGTAGTAATGCTTCAGTCTAAAACTTTTCTTAATTTTATGAGGGAGTTTCTGATTTCTTCAGGTGATAATCCTTGTCTTGATGCTTACAGAAGGAGGATGCAGAAGTGTGCTGTGGTCTGGCCTGGTTGAATCTGGCATTTCTGTCCCTTAATTTGACCAAGGATGAAATTTGTTGATCCCAGGTTATATCATAAAATGGCCTGAATGGTGTTTTGGGTGTTTAGGTAGGTGTATATATATTAAGCGTGATGTATACCTCCTTATAAACCTGACTAGAGGAGTCAGGTTTAGTGTTTCTATCTTGAGGTAGAAGTTAAGGAGGAAAATCTTGAAGTCAGGAGTGGGAGATAATGGCACAGTCCAGAGTGCTCTCTAGACTGCCTTGATTTCAGGTGTAACATTGTAGTTGGGTTTTTCAACCAGTACTTCAAATACTAGTAGGTACCAGTAAGACTTTTTCAAATGTTTTTCTACCTTTCTCTTTCAGTGTCTAAACACTGCAAAAACTTGGTGGTTAGATTCTGATCCTTCCTAGACTTCCAGGAAATAATTTTTGAAAATACATGGTCATTTTCTCACATTTCTAAGATGCCACTATTACTTCTATCTGTAGGAATGATATTTCAAAGATTTGAATTCCTTCATACACAGAAAGCTTTCCAGGTTATTCATGCCGTTAGGTTCCTTGTAGTAAAGCAATTTAGGCTAAATATGGCTTTTGCAAAGGATGTGAATAGCTGAAATTGCAACTGAACTGCAAGGGTAATTGCATGCAAAGAAAGTTAATCTCTGTGTAACTTCTGTACTTGCTGCACTGGAAACTGTTGTAACCTCATTCTTCTGGAGAAGTGGATTATTTACTTGTGATAATAGCCACATAAAATCATTAACATGCTGTCATAAACAGCTGTGTTAAGCTGTATTATATGTATTGGTGGCATAAACTGTCCAACAAGAAGCTGTGATTTACAAAACACAACGCAGTTGCCTTTGGGAGAATTGCAAGGAACACATGTTTTTTTAAAATAATTACTCTTTTGTGCATTGTAAATATCTCTCTACTATTACAGAGGTTTTATGGTGAGAAAGTCCTGTGCCAGTGTGCAGCTTTTGGGCCCAATTCTGACATTGCTTGTTCCGTTAACTGAAATCAGAACATTAAGTGGATTAGAGAGAATGGATATGACTATTCTAGCTTTTATTAGACGCTACCTTTGATTGTCACTTGGGATCATATCATGCTATTAATTTCGTTCTTGAAACAAGTTATACTGCGAACTGATGCTTCCAACTCTTCCTTTCTCTTTTGCTAGACACTTGCTAATTCTTGAAGCCCTAACTTTTTTTGTTTACGTACTTTAGAGCAAAATGTGGTAGCTGGCTACTTGAATAATTACTTTTATAGATGAAACTAAATACTTGACAATAAAACTCGTACCTATAAAGAAAATGCCAGAAAGCTATTTGTGCATTGTTATATATATTCATTAGGAAGTTTGGGTGTGGGATGTAAAAGAAAAGTAATTATTCTTTTTATTGGAGACTATGAGTATCTTAAGTCTCTTAATCTGATAAATTTGCATGTTTTCATTTGCTCTGGAGAAATGAAGGAAGGGTTCATACGATGAAAAAAATCAGCCATTTTTACTTTTGTGTGTAGCTGTTTTAAAGGCTGTCTCTACACCATGCCCTGAGTGATGCTGTGACTAGTCCTGAGTTTGATCCAGGTCTGTCTGGGAAGCAGAGCTAGGCCTGCTTGTGAGTAGCTCTGTGTGAGCCTGGAAAGCCCTCGGGGACTGTGGCACTGGGCAGCGTAGGCAAGCCTGTGATGTGGCAGAGATGCTGATTTAACTGTGAGTTACAGGGAACTGGAATCTGATATTTTCTTGCCCCAAGTACAGTCTCTGACACTTGAAAAGAGGGTGTGTGGATAGCTGTCTAATCAAAATACAAGCGGCATGTCCTTTGCTGGGCTATAAATTATTAGAAAATGTTTGATGCAGCAGAGGAAAAAAAGACCATTTTCTGTCATCTGAGCTTGTGCCCTTTGATGCTATAGCAGCTGCCTGTTCTTAGGTGCTTTAATGATTTCCTACTCTGTAGCAGGAAAGGATAACCTCATATAGGGTAAAGAAAGGATAACCTCAGTTCTGCTTTGACAGTCTCTCTCTGCCTTTACATTCAGGTGCATCTCCTAACTATGCAGAGCTGGCGGGTGTCCCATTACCAGCGCAGCATTTCAGAGGGTTTCCTCCGGATTCTTGCAGCAGGCGGAAATCCAGGGTCGCCGGTGTTGCGGTGCTGCTGAAACGGTTGCGGTGCTGCTCGTGGCGTTGGCGCTCAGATCTCTGCCTCCCTGATTTTCCTCTGCATAGGTTTCTCTCGCTACCTCGTAGAAGGCAATGGCCAGATGGCTGGGTAGCAATGAGGAGGATGATGTAGCGAGGTGGGAGAAGCGCCGCCAGCTTTGAGGTTTTGACGTTGTTTCTGAAAGATAGTATGACTGTATGCTTGTGTGCTCTCTTCTGTTTGGCAATAGCAAAGAAACAGGCCCAATGCTCTTTTCATGGTTTCCATGCTAAAACATATCTCGGTGTATATGCCCAGAGCAGGTGCTGTAAGCAATTACTCTCTAAATAAAATTCAGGTGGCACGTTTTTAGTTGTACAGGTTTGTTTTATCTCCATATTTTCATATATACACACATAATCTATTTATAAATATTTCTGTGTAGCTGGCACAAAAATATCCTCTCTGCTTCCCCCACTTACCCCTTAATCAGTTTGCAGGGAAACATAAATACCAATTAAATTAATTCCCAAAATGCTTGCCAGGCATATTTATGGTGCCTCTGGGATTTTGTGGTAGTGTCCTATAGTGAGTTTACATCAGATACAGTGCATATCTCTCTGCATGGAAATAACTAACCACCATTTGCTCCTTTTTTGTTGTTTGTTTCAGGTTCCCAGGTCAAGGGGTTTACATCACTGAGGTTCTTGACGGAGCCTTCAGATGCTGTCACTATGCGTGGAAGCAACGTGCTCTTGAACTGCGCAGCCGAGTCGGATCAAGGAGCTCCAGTTATTAAATGGAAGAAAGATGCAGTCTTCTTAAACCTGGCAGTAGATGAAAGGAGACAGCAGTTGGCCAATGGCTCACTCTTGGTACAAAACATAGTCCATTCAAGGCACCACAAGCCAGATGAAGGTCTCTACCAGTGTGAAGCATCTTTAGAAGGCATTGGAGCTATCATCAGTCGGACAGCTAAGGTCATGGTAGCAGGTAGGCAGAAACTTTCCTGCATTTTAGACTGCTGGAAATGCTGTTTGTAAGAAGTTGTGTGTTTAAAACTAAAAGCACAAAATGTGGGGAAATGCACTAGCAGAAGTGCTGTGATTCTTTCCTGCCCCTTCAAAAGAAGTAAAGTTACATATGACACTTTTACTACAGTAATTTATTTCTGACAAGGTATTATTCTTGTTTAAACATGTCTAATCAACTCTTTGTTGCTGTGAGTTATTTGCTGCATATTTATTGTCATCAAAACAGAGGAAACCTCTGAAGTTGGTAATTAACTGCTTTTTCTGGTGAATTCAAGATCAGAAAAATAAAATGCTGAACTCCTGTAAGGTGTTGCATGTACAAATTTTATGGTTTAGGAACTCTTTCATAGACAAGAACTCATTATGTAGCTTAATAGAATTGGCAGCCTCTTTTGTATCTCCTTTAAAGTGCTTGTGTAGGTATATGACAGAATGAATAGGAATAGACATTATTGGGTGTCTGAGAATGTTTGTGCTTCACGTTGACTTACCAAATACCTTTGTGAAAGATGTTGGGGTGTGAAGTTTTAAAGGGGTCTCTTGCTTCTCCATTACTCTCTGGAATGGGTGTAGTGAGATCTTAATCATGTAATCACTGGAAAAAAAAAAAGAGCCTGGAAATCCTTGAATAAAAGGTATGAAGAAACCCAAGGTTAGTTAATAACTAATGTTAATGAGAGTGAACTAGACTTCAGAATAACTTTCTTTAGGATCATTAAGAATTTCACCAGATCTAAGGGTGTACTTTTCTGTTCTCTACCTCCACTTCTGTATGGAGGGAGCTGTTGAGTGTTGCTAGAGGCCTCTAGCAGACCTTGCAAAGAATGCTGTGGTTGCCTGGTATTGATACAGATGGAGGTGGACTTCCTGTAAGTACCCATCCAGAGGTGCTCACTTAGTATCCCTGAGGGGGAAAAAAAGAGGCCAAAGTAAAGCCATTCCTTCTTTTATGCTGTGGAAAGGAGTGGTAATTATGGCATTTGGTGCATAGATGAGCTTATGGACTTGTTAAAAAGGTTTTGGTTATGCAAAGGAGAAGAGTGGATTTATGTAAAAGGAAAAAAGAAAAGACAGGTGCTGGTGAAGCGCTCAGTCTTACCTGGCTGCGCCCCGCACAGCCCATCGGGGAGAGGTATGCCTTTCTTGAGGTCTCCAGGCACCTAGTCTGTGTGCACTCCGTTCAAAAACACGGCAGGACAGAAAGACTAATGTGGAGATGGAGAGAAAATGAAACTCAATTTAGGAGCTCTGCAACTTTTTGCTGTCTAGTGCTTTGCTCAACCCCTACATGGGGCTGGTGCCCAGGTAGCTGTTCTCTTGGCTGGTCTCTGGTATTGTTCATGAACTCGGTGCCCTTTCTTGTCTTAAGGTCCTTTAAAGTGAAGGTTATTCCCCCCCCCCCCCCCCCACCCTAAACTGGCTCTACTAGCCAGGAAACATGTTTTCTCATGGTACTTGACTACAGTAGGCAGTAGGAGTCCTTACCCTTTGTCAGCTTTAGCTCTTCCCCAGTCTACCTACCATTTCTTTTTCTCTCCAAATCTCTGTGGGCAACTGAGTCTTCCGTGGTAATCTGGAAGCTCTGTTAACTGAATCCCCTTGGCAGTGTGCCCCTGCCCTGGGCTGAGTCTTGTGCAAAGTGATGGAGAGCCCTGCAGATGCAACCTTCTGGCAAATGCTGGCTCTGCAGGCTCCCACCAACAGGGATTTGTTACTACAAGATAGTTTGGCCTTGATTTGGTTATTGGCAACCGGTAACTAATAAAATCTCTCCAATTACTCTCTAAGTGAATGCACATATGTGACTGTTCCCTGTAGGTTTTTTATATCTGTTGTGCTGTGCCCAAATCCTGTAATTCTGAGCTTTTCACATGAGGAATTGTCCTGTGCACAGCAGATCCTGATCTTGTACCCCTGCAGCAGTGGTGGAAAGCTTGGAGGAAGAGATAGACTTAGTCTATTCAATTTTATTAGTCCTTCCTGTTTCAGCCAAGATTCCTTCATTGAAAGGAGTGAAAAGGTCAGCAGGCAATCAGCACAAACTGGAACAGAGGAAATTCATTGCAATGGTAAAAGAATCCTCTGTTTTTCCTGTGGAGTTGGTTGAACACTGAACCAGGTTGCCCAAACAAGTTATGAAGTCTGTCCTTGGGGATATTCAAAACCCAATTGGACGCAACCCTGGTCAACCTGCTGTAGCTGACCCTGCTTTCTGCTGGGGGGTTGGACTAGGTCTCCAAGGGTGCCTTCCCCAGCGTCAATGATTGTGTAAATTTTTGGTAAATGGCTCATATTATGAGGTGGAGTGCAAGATGTATAGCATTTAAAGCTGGCAACAAGTTCTCTAAGCAGAAATGATGTTTTGCTCTCTGAGGGACATGTATATTCCTGAGTGAGCAGAATTATTTTTGAGGGAGTTGCTGTGCGATGTTGGCAGAACATCATTGACTTAAGGCACTGGCAGATGGAAACATGGCAGAGGAAGTAAGAGGAGAAACAAAGGTCTTGCACTCCAGTATGTTATGTTAATCGTTGCTTGGCAAAGCAAACAAGCTTTCTATGTTCAGAAGAGTCTGCTTTCACAGGGATGGAGGAAGGGGATTGGACAGAATTTTGTTTAGTGTTGTAACAGTCAAAAGCTGAATCTTTCTGATCTATTGTATGATGAACAAGGTATCACTACTAGACAGAACGCATGTGGACAGCCTAATGCCTTCATCAAAAGGCAATCATGATGATATGTTAGACTGTGCTATCCTGATGAGGGAGAGAATGCGTTCATGTCAACAGCACGTATCCTCACCTCACTTGAGCTCCTATTCCTATGCAAGATTTCATTCTTGCAAGATTTTAAAGCAAGGATCATGAGCTTTAACATTTCAGGCAGGTTTGGATAGAGATTCATTCACTGAACTGCAGTCTAATCTTAGGTTGTGTCATTTTATAAAACCATGTCTGCTGATAGCATTTTAAGCACTTACAGTGCTTTTTGTCAACACGGAATACATCAGCATTGATGTCATTTGAGGTCAAGATCACCAAACCACTGATACGCATGGGGGCATACATCTATCTTGCAGTTAAGACTATGAACCTGATCTCATCTCCCTTTTTAAAGCATTAAGAGTCGATAAACCAATCACTGCTGGAACGGTCAACTTGGCTTAGAACAAACTGCTCGGGAGTACTGAAAGTGTGTCTCCCTTTTAAAACCCTTCTTATATTTTCATGGCTTAAAGTCCCTTTGATAAAGAAAATGTAGTAAATGAAAACTATTTTTAAATCAGTCAATCTTCTGTATGAAGCTTGCCATGTACAAGAAAATACACTTTTTCTAAGAACTTCTCAAGGGTTCTTAAGGCCTTAACAGTCACCAGCTGTGAAAGTGTTCTTGGCTGAAATGGAAATGAGGGTGCTGAAGAGAAACTAAGAGCTGCTTCCTATGCTAGCACTGTATTAAAAGTACTAATTTAACAGGCTACTGATTATTGGTATTTCTAATAACTGGTAGGTTTTCAGATAGCAACCACACTATGCCATGTTATGTCTCTATTCCTACACTGTTGTAGGATCACTGCTTCAACAATTCTAGCTTTATATTTACCTGAAACATTGGTCTTTTGAGTGATGACAAAAAGAAGCCCGAGGTTAGTTTATACAGGAATCCTTGCACTTCAGTATCAAGCTCCTTGATGAAGACTAATTCTCTGATGTGTTCTCTTTTTTGGGGGGTCATATTGATTTATAACTAGAGAGAAACTTGCTGAAAATAACTTGCAGGTGTCTTTCTCCTTGTCCTGAAACGGATAAGGTGGATTACAGTGTCCTGGCTTTGCTGGTTGATAGCGTGTTCCTGGAGAAACAGAGGAACAGTGCAGCGTATCAGAATGATCTGCCAGAGTTCTCTGCCTGTCTCCAGAGTGGTCTCCATGTCAGTAAATCCTTGAGGCACAAGTAGTGTTTGTATGTTTAAGGGCCTTTTTAATGAGTTTCTTCCATAACGTGGTCTGTCCTAGCCTATATAGGCTTTTAGCATTTATTTCCTTGTTGGAGTATGTTGCCATCAATTCAGTCCCAGCTGAAATCAGAGGCTACCTTAGGAATAAAAAGTACCTAGGAAAAGCCCACTTGGTAAGGTAGCAGCAGGAACTCCATTCTGTTGTTTAAAGCTGATAGATGTTGTGTGGAGTGTCCCTGGAAGGGCAACTGGACAAGGTGATCTCTGCTGGAACCGAAGCAGAACATGCACTTTTAGTGTTGGAAGCTTAGTGTGTTAGTTTGAAGTAGGCTGAGGAGACCTTTTGAAACAAAAATGAAGAGATGGGATTTGTCAAGTAAGTTGAAAATGCATCCTGCCTGATAAAGTCAGTAGAGAAATGCAGCTTGCAAGTGTTGCCCTTTGGCCTCCTGAAAGACTATTTTTGAGAAAAGGTTTTGAACTATTGTTACGGCAGGTGTCACAAGATGGCTCTGTCATGTGTAGTCTTAACAGACTTCATTTTGGAAGCAACTTTTTAGTAAATTTTTGTACTGAAGGTGGGAATAGCAAGGAAAGAAAAAGGGGACATCTCAAGTTCCCACTGTGACTGTGTTTGTTCTAGGACTAAATTATGTGTCAAACAAGTTCTGTTTGGAATAAATGAACTTTAATCAGAGATTTCTCCTTCAACTGAAAGTCAATCCGTATGTTCACAATAGAAGTTGTTACTTGGTGGGCAATCAACTGAAATACAAAGATTTTCCTATCGTGATCTCTTAATGTTCTTAGCAATATTTTTAAATGGTGTTTGACACTGTTCATGTCTCTCTATTTGGGGATAAGCCTGCTGCTCATGCTGTGGTTGATTCATTAGGATCGTGCTGCTGTCAGTGAGAGCCCTGCTGCTCCTCATCCCTGGAGCATACTCAGTCACCTTAATTTGGTGCTCAGACCAAATTAAGACTACTGCTGATCCAGGG